CTACGCTCCCGTCGCATGTCGCAACTCGCCCGCCACCTTCTCCTTTGGAGTCGGAAGGTTCCGAGGTCACTTCGTGCCATTCACATTCCGGCCCTGCTCAACCGTACGGCCGACGAGCTGTCTCGAGCTACGCTCCCGGTAGAGTAGAATGAAGTATAGTCTAATATTTCGCAAAGTAGTCTAATATTTCGACTTCATTTCTCTAGCAAATAACTAGCTGTAGTGTAGACACTGATGACTTGCCTGAGGTAAATGAAATGCTACGGACATTTTGTTTACAAGCTGTTTTAATGACGTCTTTCCGTGGTTGAAACACTAATTGACGGATTAGGTCAGGGGTGAGATGTTCATTCATGTATATTGTACTTTAAAACTAGTAGTAAAGAGGAAGGGATGATCGTGCTCACTCGCGCTTCGCGCTGCTGTTTGAACTGAAGCGTTAGTATACGACGATCTGTCGCGCCACATCAAAGAGTGCCAAAGCGGCATTTATTGTCTGAATTCCCTGAAAAAATGGAACGATTTGTTCGGTACACATTTGTACCGAACCGAAAGACCCGTACCAAAAATTTTTGGTATGAATACGTGTACCGTTGCACCCCTAGTATGTATACTGTATGTACACTCTCACACATTTTCATCTATTTTAGAATGCTTGATGATTTTCTCATCATATGTTTCTGTCGGCTACATGAACATATGAATTTGTAAATATGCTACTTCGCTAGATAACAAATGCATAAAAGTGACCTGCTGGATATAAACTAATTCAAATAGATGGTAACAATCATAACAAATAAACATTTGAGCCGGTGTACCGACGAAACATGCTACCTATCAGATTGTGCTACCAAAAATATATTTGCATTGTTTTAAGGGTAAGTTTAGGGTAGGGGTAGGTATGAACATTAAAAAAGCCTCAAACCACATGAATAAGACGCTGTGGTAATCTTTTTAAAGGGAGGTAGCACAATCTGAGCGGGTAGCACAAATCGTCAGAACACCGGACTTGTGTGTGTTTTTGTCACACTCTTTTAACCGTTTGAGGTGCTACTAATGTCAGCGTCCTCTCAGCCCTGGTGGCAAACATACTGCTTTCTATACTAATGCAGCATCTAATCAACAAATTAATTGCTTTATAATGACATGAAAACAAACTGTATACGTACTGTTTTAAATCTGCATCTAAAGGCCGTTTCACACAAAGCGCGATGCGAAAAAGTGAGGCGAATAGCCGACTTGATTGATCGCCTTCTGCTAATTCACACCTGCACGCTAGGTGGCGCAAACCAACAATTCATTTTTTCCTCATGTAGCCTATGTATCTCGTATATGGCTTTTGCATTGTTCGCTGCTCAATATACAGCATTAAATTAAGATAAATAACTTTTGGTTCTTCATTAGAAACACAAACTATCCATAATGCTTACAAGAATACATCTGAAAATATAATTAGAGGTACAAATAGCATCAAGCTACATTTCAAAATGTATGTAACTATTAATGTTTTTGCTTAAACCCCACTTTAAACCATCATCGAGTGCTTGTAATAACTTCCGATTGTGATCTAAAATGGATTTTGATTCTATAATACGTAGACATGCACTCTTTGTATGTTTTATAATAGACTGAACGCTACCTGCTTGTCATAAACATCCTTTATTGTTATAAAAATACTGTGAGCTGCATAAAAACATACAGAAAATATATTTTCATATTCATATGTCTATTTGCTTTCATATTTTACGTGTAGACAAATGTTTCTCTATTTTTTTTTTATATCCACTTTTTTCTTCAACGTGGAAGTAAGCCTATGGGTGAGACTTCCAGTTCATTAGCCGCTATATGGAAATAACGAGAAGAATAACAATGTGCAGTAAATGGTAAAACTGTTTGCACTACAAACCAGTGTGTTCATAATTAAGATAATACATTAAAATAATATGGTAAGACATACAAAATTTTCAATATCAAGCAGCAAAACGAGCGGTTCTGTACAACTAAAAATAGCTGGACGCGGATGAGACCGGAAGCTAGACCCATAAAATTTACAAATGGCCACGCCCATTTTTACAGCAAGGAAAAGGTGGATACGGAAGGGCAAGAGATGATTGACAGATCTTGAGTGAATGCGCTCTCGCGCACGTGATCCATCCTCGATCACTTTTAGTCAGCTTTGACGAAACTCCTCTCAGCTAGCACGTCTTTTCAAAGTGAAAGTAGCCTTGTCACCTGACCTGAATACAGCGCGCTGATTCTCTAAAATGGACTTATCGGCTTCTGTTCAAAAACAACAAGGGCGCTTGTCGGCTTCTGCAGTAAAACGTGAACCGACGATGCATTTTTTTTAAAAGTGGCGTTTATTGGCTTTTGCAAATAAACTCTTCATTTGTTGTTGAAATATAATAATTTTCAGAGTCATAACTTGTTACATAAAATATTTATTTAAACACATACATTAATTAATTAAGACATCACTAACAGGTAAAGTAAATATAATGAAGTATAGTCTAATATTTCGCAAAGTAGTCTAATATTTCGACTTCATTTCTCTAGCAAATAACTAGCTGTAGTGTAGACACTGATGACTTGCCTGAGGTAAATGAAATGCTACGGACATTTTGTTTACAAGCTGTTTTAATGACGTCTTTCCGTGGTTGAAACACTAATTGACGGATTAGGTCAGGGGTGAGATGTTCATTCATGTATATTGTACTTTAAAACTAGTAGTAAAGAGGAAGGGATGATCGTGCTCACTCGCGCTTCGCGCTGCTGTTTGAACTGAAGCGTTAGTATACGACGATCTGTCGCGCCACATCAAAGAGTGCCAAAGCGGCATTTATTGTCTGAATTCCCTGAAAAAATGGAACGATTTGTTCGGTACACATTTGTACCGAACCGAAAGACCCGTACCAAAAATTTTTGGTATGAATACGTGTACCGTTGCACCCCTAGTATGTATACTGTATGTACACTCTCACACATTTTCATCTATTTTAGAATGCTTGATGATTTTCTCATCATATGTTTCTGTCGGCTACATGAACATATGAATTTGTAAATATGCTACTTCGCTAGATAACAAATGCATAAAAGTGACCTGCTGGATATAAACTAATTCAAATAGATGGTAACAATCATAACAAATAAACATTTGAGCCGGTGTACCGACGAAACATGCTACCTATCAGATTGTGCTACCAAAAATATATTTGCATTGTTTTAAGGGTAAGTTTAGGGTAGGGGTAGGTATGAACATTAAAAAAGCCTCAAACCACATGAATAAGACGCTGTGGTAATCTTTTTAAAGGGAGGTAGCACAATCTGAGCGGGTAGCACAAATCGTCAGAACACCGGACTTGTGTGTGTTTTTGTCACACTCTTTTAACCGTTTGAGGTGCTACTAATGTCAGCGTCCTCTCAGCCCTGGTGGCAAACATACTGCTTTCTATACTAATGCAGCATCTAATCAACAAATTAATTGCTTTATAATGACATGAAAACAAACTGTATACGTACTGTTTTAAATCTGCATCTAAAGGCCGTTTCACACAAAGCGCGATGCGAAAAAGTGAGGCGAATAGCCGACTTGATTGATCGCCTTCTGCTAATTCACACCTGCACGCTAGGTGGCGCAAACCAACAATTCATTTTTTCCTCATGTAGCCTATGTATCTCGTATATGGCTTTTGCATTGTTCGCTGCTCAATATACAGCATTAAATTAAGATAAATAACTTTTGGTTCTTCATTAGAAACACAAACTATCCATAATGCTTACAAGAATACATCTGAAAATATAATTAGAGGTACAAATAGCATCAAGCTACATTTCAAAATGTATGTAACTATTAATGTTTTTGCTTAAACCCCACTTTAAACCATCATCGAGTGCTTGTAATAACTTCCGATTGTGATCTAAAATGGATTTTGATTCTATAATACGTAGACATGCACTCTTTGTATGTTTTATAATAGACTGAACGCTACCTGCTTGTCATAAACATCCTTTATTGTTATAAAAATACTGTGAGCTGCATAAAAACATACAGAAAATATATTTTCATATTCATATGTCTATTTGCTTTCATATTTTACGTGTAGACAACTGTTTCTCTATTTTTTTTTTATATCCACTTTTTTCTTCAACGTGGAAGTAAGCCTATGGGTGAGACTTCCAGTTCATTAGCCGCTATATGGAAATAACGAGAAGAATAACAATGTGCAGTAAATGGTAAAACTGTTTGCACTACAAACCAGTGTGTTCATAATTAAGATAATACATTAAAATAATATGGTAAGACATACAAAATTTTCAATATCAAGCAGCAAAACGAGCGGTTCTGTACAACTAAAAATAGCTGGACGCGGATGAGACCGGAAGCTAGACCCATAAAATTTACAAATGGCCACGCCCATTTTTACAGCAAGGAAAAGGTGGATACGGAAGGGCAAGAGATGATTGACAGATCTTGAGTGAATGCGCTCTCGCGCACGTGGAATAAAATGGACTGTGCTCTCCAGATCACATAATTCAGTGGAGAATTAATAGAAATGTTATTCTGTATAAAGAACAGTGAGAATAAATCTGTTCTCAAATACCAACGATAACAAGAACTCAGCATCCACTTTCTTCTCTCTACCGGGATACTCTTCTTCGGGGTTTGCTTACATTGGTTTTCGAAACAGCGCCACCATTCTCACCCTTTTGTGCAACAGCAGCTGCTCCGGGCACGTGATCTAAGCTCAAATCTGATTGGACGGCCCGTTTCATCGCGGAGCAACAGGGAAAAAAATCGACACACAGGACGAAAAAAAAATCGCGAATTATCGCGCCTAGTGTGAAAAGCCCCATTAGGGATCTATTGTTTCGATTCAAACACGTCATCGCGCCGAACATTCGCACCGATTTTCGCGTTCAGTGTGAAAAGCCCTTAAAGTGTGCTGCTCTGTGCTGCGAGCAGCTTCGTGTGTCAAAACAAACAGCATGAGGCGTCAGTGATGGATACATTTTTTTAAAAATGTATGTACATTTATAACACTATTCTTTGTATTATATCACCTTTGCATCAAATTACAAAAAAAAACAGTTAACGCTAATGCGAGGGTGTTTCTAATGCAGCGTCTATGGGAGGGACTTTGACACCGTTCTCTCTTCTGACAGCCGTTATCAATCTCTCTCAATTTTTTTCCTTTTATTGAGTCATGAAAACATTATCGTTGAGTATTTCTTTTGCTATTTGAGCAACTGAGAATGCAAAAAATATATTTGTGGTGCTCTCCCATTCACTGCTATTCAAGTTAACCCAACTATGACGACTTCCGCTGCTGAGAAACCCGGAAATGTGAAAAGGGTCCATTCACCTCTAGAGGCCGCTCTTGCTGCGTTTAATGACAGCAGACCCTCAGCCACTCACACCATTTTTGAAGCAGATTGATACCACAAATTAAGTGGTTTGTTGATGAGAAGTGTGCTATTTCTTGTCTGAGCAAAATGGATGAAAAAAAGTGTGTAGATTTCTTGAGACAAGAATATGAGATTTAAGGGTAGGCTTTTTTCACAAAAAAACTAGTATGTGCATAGCATCACATTAGAAACCATATAGCAACACTTTAAGGGGCAATCCACACCGACCTTTTTTTTATTTCACTGCGATGCTTTTCAATTGTTTTCCTGTGTAATCATGTGCTAGATGAACATCTTTGACCACTGGGTCACACCACGTCTTGCATGCGACATGATATTCTAAAACCATGACTCTCAAGTTAAAAATTAAAAACTAGTTTTGTTTATTATTTAGTTTATTGTCCTTTCAGAAATTCTTTTTGAACAACTACTCAGAACTTTTTAGCAAGGATATAGAAACCACATAGCAACACGCTAAAAACCAATCAGACAACTCACTTTTCATGATTTAGTGTATATTTGTGTTGAAATGAAGACTATCTGTCTTCAAATCATCACTAAAAGTGGCGAGTTGTGGTCTGTGTGTGCATGTCTCTTGCAGCCTGGCCGCGGTATCGAGTGTTGCGGCTGGTGGATGTTGGGCAGTATAATTTGGAGATCTCAGCTGCTGAACTCTCAGACGACTCTCTCTATGAGTGCCAGGCCACGGAGGCAGCGCTGCGCTCGCGACGGGCCAAACTCACCGTCCTCAGTGAGTGCTGTGTGTATGAATGTGTGGGTTTGCTTAGAAAAGGGTCTGAATGGTCAATGCATGCTAAAAGCTTGTTGTTTTAGATGTTGGATATGATGGAATGAATGGGTTAATGTGTTATGAAATGAATAGATTTATGAGATGTTGCTATTAATAATTGAATTCCATATGTGTTTGTGTGTGTAGTTCCTCCCGATGAGCCGGTGATTGAGGGGGCCCCGGAGATCCTCCTCACAGCAGGGGTCCCATACAATATGAGCTGCGTGTCCCGCGGAGCCAAACCTGCCTCTGTCATAGAGTGGCAGAAAGACGGCCTGCCGATAGAGGGGGCCTTCAGCACCACGGTGAGGCGCACACACACTCATGAGAATAAATGTAAATCTAAAGCAAAACATGCATGAGTTTGTAGGTATGTAATAGCTTATATACTCAAGCACAGAGGTATTGATATGCTCTGTGTCTTTTTGCTATGCAGGAGGTGCTTCCAGACAGGAAACGCGTGACCACTCGCAGTTACCTGCCCATTTCACCAGTAGATACAGACACGGGGAAGAACTTCACCTGTGTCGCTACTAACCTGGCCGTGCCGATGGGCAAACGGGCCACTATCACCCTCAACGTACACCGTAAGTCTAAAATCCTTTCCAGTTTCAGTAACATTTACAAGGAAAGAGATATATATTATATATATATATAATTGTTTGTATATACAAAATGGTTTGTACCCTGCATACACTATCATTTAAAACTTAAAAAAAAATTAAAATGTATTATTATTTTAAAAAGAAAATACAAAGAATCTTGAAAAAAGGTTTACAGTTTACATAAAAAATGTTAAGCACTACTGTAACTGTTTTTAAATTTGATGATAATAATAAATGTTTCTTGAGCACCAAATCAGCATATTAGAATGATTACTGAAGACTGGAGAAATGGCTGCTAAAAATTCAGCTATTACATTGCATTTTAAAAGACATTAAAATAGAAAACAGTTATTCTAAATTGTTATAATATTTCACAATAGTATTGTTTTTACTGTATTTTTGATCAAATAAATGCATCACTAGGAGGTGCACAATAGATTTCTTTCAAAAACATTACAAATTTATATATACAGGGCTCTTTTTTTAGTCCCAGCCCATTCCTGGTGCAATTGTTTCTCTTAAATATCTATTTCTGTTTGATCTAACCCTTAAAAATGACTTTTGTTGGTGTAACCTAATTTAGTCAGGTAGATTCAGTCATATTAAATAATCCTTTTGGCTTGAATAAAACCACATGAAGCACAGACCAAACATATTTTACAGTGTAGGAAGATAAATGTAAGAGAGAAGGACCTCCCACATCTGGCCAGTCAGTGCTGTATTCATTGGCCGTCTTCTCAACCCACAATAGGTTACAAACTGTACTAAAGCAGCTTTACAAAGTAGCACATGAAAACCTTCTAAGAGGTTAAAACCCCTTTAAGATGATAGCATGAACCATTAGGAGGAACCTTGACATTCATCTACGTTCTTGCTCTTTATTAGTAGTTTCCCTTGTGTTGACTTCCACATCCACTCCAGCTCCTTACCTTCAACCTTCAGTCCTTCAACTTGCCTTTGGTCTAATGAATGACTATCGGTTTATTATGTATTCTGAATGCTCTCTGCAGACCCACCGTTGGTGACGTTATCCATTGAGCCTCGCTCCGTATTGGAAGGAGAGAGAGTGACCTTCACCTGCCAAGCTACTGCCAACCCACCTATTATGGGATATAAGTATGTCTCTTACTAAATGTGAAGCTTAAAGTGGTTCCTTTTACATTCTGTGAGATGAAAAATTAATGACTTGTTTTATCAGGGAGATAAAGACGTCCTTTAAGTAGTATTAAGCCCCGTATATCTTTAATTATTTTCTGTTACGGCAGTTGTACCCTTGAATTCCTTTTTGTACATGCTTCATGGGTCTCTCTTCATATCTGCTTATGCGTCACTGATTGGCTCTTTTTGGCTTTGCTAGGTGGGCAAAGGGAGGTGTGGTCATACAGGGGGCGAGAGAGAGTGTTTTTGTCACCAAGGCTGATCACTCTTTCTTCACTGAGCCTGTGTCCTGCCAAGTGTTCAATGCTGTGGGCAGCACAAACGTCAGCATACTCGTCGATGTCCACTGTGAGTCTTAACTTCAGAAATGCAACCTAGTCTAGAACACCCTAAGGTGAAAATTAATATGTGAAGCAGATTACCTAGTAATTATTTACTAGTAATTAAAGCTGTCCACTGTGTCTGTATAGTGCAATATCTATCTATCTATCTATCTATCTATCTATCTATCTATCTATCCCTTTGCCATTCTATCTATCTATCTATCTATCTATCTATCTATCTATCCCTTTGCCATTCTATCTATCTATCTATCTATCTATCTATCGTCTGTCTGTCTGTCTGTCTGTCTTTCTATCCGTCTGTCTGTCTGTCTGTCTGTCTGTCTGTCTGTCTCGCTGTCTGTCTGTCTGTCTATCTATCTGTCTGTCTGTCTATCTCTCTCTCTGACTGTCTGTCTATCTCTCTGTCTGTCTGTCTATCTATATCTATCTGTCTGTCTGTCTGTCTGTCTGTCTATCTCTCTCTCTGACTGTCTGTCTATCTCTCTGTCTGTCTGTCTATCTATATCTATCTGTCTGTCTATCTATCTATCTGTCTGTCTGTCTATCTATCTA